ATTGTAAAATTGTTCATAGAATAAACATTAGAGTCATGGATAGAACACTGAGATAATTAAAATTAACCAAACATCAATTGAAAAGGTTTAGAAACTATGATCCAGAATATTACATCAATACTCTAACAAAAAGAAAATTAGTTCTGCATAATGAAAAAGGAAAAATCAAAAGAGATTGATGAGCCGTTCATCTTCCGATGGTGAGTTGATCTCCTCTTGATGAGTCGTTCCTCTCTCTGACTATCAGTTCTCCTCCTCCTTTTTTTCTTTTCTTCTAATTATTCCTCTTTTATTTTCAGACTCTTTTTTTTTTAATTCCTAAGAGTTGTCTTTTCCTCTTCTTTTCATTTGGCCCAAGCCCACAACCTGTTTGTGGAATTTTCTGACTTCAACTCTTCCATCTTGATATTTGCTCTCTTTGAACAATGATTTAAACACCTAAAACACTTATTTACAAAGAAAAACAAGAAAACCAAAAGTGTAATATAAAACAAAAATAATGCATGATAAAATCATTCAAACAATGCAATAATATATGCAAATGGCCTAAACTAAAGTATGAATGCAAAGACAATTTATACACACATCAAAATCTCCCAAGCTTAGACTTTTGCTTGTCCTCAAGAAAAGAAAACTAAATGAAAACAAGATAATTAGTACATTTAAATGGAAACATATCATCTCAAATCAATACCAAATTCAAACAATGATATCCAAGAGCACACTTTTCACAATTTTTAGAATAATGACTAACTTGTTAGGTCCCTAGTGCAATTGGAGATTAATTGAAACAGGCACTAGACACTAAGTCAGACAATACTTGCAACCCTTTCTTTTTTTTGTTTATTTATATTTTTTTTTCTTAGGTTTCTAACATAAAAGACACTTACCTTCCAACTATGCATGGATCTTCCACTCAATTGCTATGCACTTGCCATACTTGGTCTCAAAGGAGTGTCTTTCTTAGGAAAATTTTATTTTTAGAATTTTTTAAACTAAACATTAACATTTCCCCAGTAGTCAATCAGTCTCAAAGGGGTACTTACAATATTTCCCCTGTAACCTATGACCTCAAAGGGGTGTCTAGTTAACTCAAGAACCATTTTTATTTCAACTTTCCTTTTTTTTAAGGCAGACAATTCTCCAGTAACCAAGTGCAATGAGTGCCACCATAGAAACCTAAAACTTTTTATATTTTATTTAAGTAGATTAAAAATATTTCTTAAGTGCCATAGTGCCAAGATTTATTGTGTAGTGTGTGAAGTTTTCCAACAAGTAATCATGAATCAGATATCAACAATGTGCTTGGAAAATATCATTGAGTAAACTTAGAACTTATGGTTAAGAAAATAAATTTCCATTCCCACACAAGATGCAATGTATATACTATGCAAATGCAGAATGATGCAAGATGACATGCATAATAAAAGAAAAAAAAATGTGTAAAACTCCCCCGAACATAAATATTTACATTGTCCCCAATGGAAACAAAATAGACAAAAGCAAGAGGGAGAAAACTCACAAAATCAATACTATTGAGAGTGGAGCAAGGCAAGAGTTTCCTGAAGTAGTTGTTCCATGTGTTGCTGGTGGATTTGGAGGAGTGGTGCAACTTGGATGAATATGGAAGAAGGTGAGGAAGGATTGTGGTTAAGGTAATATATATATATGTATATATATATATATATATTTATTTATTTATATATTTATATATATAATAATGTTTTTTTTATTTTTTATTTCAAAAGCATTTTGTTAAACCTGTTGACCACCTTCAGCCAGTGGTGCTAGATTAACAATGGTCCTATTTCTTTCAAAATCATCCCCTAGGTACAATTTTAATCTTTGACCATTAACTTTAAAACTTCTTTCTAAATTGAGATCTGAAATTTCAATTGTACCAAAGGGGAATACTTGTTTAACAACAAAAGGACCTGACCACCGGGATCTTAATTTACCTGGAAATAATTTGAGCCTAGAATTGTATAGCAACACTTGTTGTCCCGGTGCAAACTCTTTAACCACAATTCTCTTATCATGCCATTTTTTTGTTCTCTCTTTATAGATTTTAGCATTTTCATATGCCTACAATCTAAACTCCTCTAGCTCATCCAATTGTAACAACCTTCTCTCACCTGCATTCTTTAAATCAAAATTTAACAATTTAGTAGCCCAGAATGCTTTATGCTCTAATTCCACAGGTAAATGACATGATTTCCCATACACCAATTGATATGGTGACATTCCAATAGGAGTTTTAAAAGCTGTACAGTAAGCCCAAAGTACATCATCTAGTTTTCTAGACCAATCCTTTCTAGTAGAGCTCACCACTTTCTCTAGAATTTTCTTCAACTCCCTATTGGAAATTTTCACTTGTCCACTTGTCTGTGGATGGTAAGGGGTAGCTATCTTGTGCTTTACACCATATTTTCCTAAGAGTGACTCAAACTGCTTGTTGCAAAAGTGTGAACCTCCATCACTAATTATTGCTCTAGGCACACCAAATCTAGTAAAAATGTGTTTCCTGATGAAAGAAACCACAACTTTAGCATCATTTGTTGGAAATGCACTAGCCTCTACCCATTTAGACACATAGTCTACAGCATCCAAAATGTATTGGTTTGAGAAGTAAGAAGGAAATGGCCCCATAAAATCTATACCCCAAACATAAAAAATTTCCACTTCAATTATATTATTTAAGGGCATCTCATTCCTCCTTGAAATATTCCCCACTCTTTGACATCTATCACACCTCTCAATAAAACTACGAGCATCCTTAAAGAGGGTAGGCCAATAAAATCCACTCTGTAACACCTTAGAAGCTGTCCTTTCCCCACTAAAATTCCCTCCATAATCTAATCCATGACAGTGCCAAAGAATACTCTCAAACTCACTCTCGGGCACACATCTCCTAATTATACCATCTGCACACCTTTTAAACAACAAAGGATCATCCCAAAAATAGAATTTAGCATCATGCAAAAATTTCTTTCTTTGCTGAAAAGTAAATTCATGAGGAATTAAACCAGCTGCCTTAAAGTTGGCAAAATCAGCAAACCATGGTAGAGAAGTAATGACCAACAGCTTCTCGTCTGGAAACTCCTCTAAAATAGGCTTGACCTCCTTGTTTGCCTCATCAAGCTTCAATCTTGAAAGATGGTTAGCCACCAAATTTTGCTTCCCTTGCTTATCTTGGATTTCCAAATCAAACTCTTGTAATAAGAGAATCCAACGAATCAATCGTGGCTTGGCATCCTGTTTAGCAAACAAATATCTCAAAGCAGCATGATCAGTATAAACAATGACCTTAGAGCCAACAAGATAAGGTCTAAATTTATCAAAAGCAAACACCACAACAAGCAATTCTTTTTCAGTCGTGGTATACTTCCTTTGAGCCTGATTCAACACACGACTAGCATAATATATAACATGAAACAAATTTTCTTTTCTTTGTCCTAATACCACACCTACAGCATAGTCACTAGCATCACACATAATTTCAAATGGTAAAGACCAATTAGGTGTTGTAATTATAGGAGCAGAAATAAGTTGTTTCTTAATGGTGTTGAATACTTGTAAACATGCATCATCAAACACAAAAAGGGCTTCTTTTTCAAGCAAATTAGTCATAGGCTTAGCTATTTTAGAAAAATCTTTGATAAACCGCCTATAAAAACCTGCATGACCTAGAAAGCTTCTAACCCCTTTCACATTCACAAGAGGAGGTAATTGTTCAATTACTTCTACCTTTGCTCTATCTGCCTCAATACCTTTAGCAGAAATTTGATGACCAAGGACAATACCTTCTCTTACCATAAAGTGGCACTTCTCCCAATTAAGCACCAAATTAGGTTCCTGGCATCTTTTTAATACTAAAGTTAGGTTAGTGAGGCAAGAATCAAATAAAGAGTCAAATACAGAAAAATCATCCATGAAAATCTCAATGCAATTTTCAATTAAATCGAAAAAATGGAAAACATACACCTCTGAAATGTAGCAGGTGCATTACAGAGACCAAATGGCATCCTTCAGTAAGAAAACACTCCATAAGGGCATGTAAAGGCTGTCTTTTCTTGATCTTCAGGGGCCGCTGCTATCTGGTTGTAACCAGAATAGCCATCCAGAAAATAGTAATACTCATGCCCAACCAATTTCTCTAGCATTTGATCCACAAAAGGTAGTGGAAAATGGTCCTTCCTTGTGGCTTGATTCAATCTTCTATAGTCAATACACATACGCCAACTTGTAACTTTTCTGGTGGGAATGAGTTCATTATTCTCTTTTGTCACTACCGTCATCCCACCTTTCTTGGGTACAACTTGAACAGGACTCACCCATTCACTATTAGAAATTGGATAAATAATACCTGCATCCAATAGCTTAATGACTTCTTTTCTCACCACTTCCTTCATAGTGGGGTTGAGCCTCCGTTGTGGTTGACGCACAGGTTTAAAGTCCTCCTCCAAACAAATTTTATGCATACAAACAGTAGGACTAATACCTTTCAAATCATTAATAATCCAACCTAAAGTAGATTTATGCTCTCTCAACACCCTCAAAAGCTTTTCTTCCTCAACACTAGTCAACTCATTGTTCACAATTACAGGGTTAAGCTTCTGCTTATCTAAGAACCTATATTTAAGGTGGGAAGGGAGTTGTTTTAATTCTAATTTTGTTGTCTCTTCTACTCCTCTCTCACTTCTATTTAGTTCTTCCACTCCTCTTTTGGAACTAAGTAATGGCTTAAAGGCTTCTAATTGATAAACACAATCCACCACCTCTTCATCATTCACCTTCTTACTCAACTCCTTTGCTCCTATTTCTGTTAACAAGGCTCCCTCTAATGGACTCTTTCTAACATATTTTCTTATCTCCTCTAACACAAGAGCATCAATTATTTCTACCCGGAAACAATCCTCCTTGTCCATCTTATGCTTCAAAGCTTCGTTTATAGAAAAAGTAACTTTTTCATTAGCCACTCTCAACATCAACTCACCTTGTTAGACATCTATCAATGCTCTCCCTATGGCTAAAAATGGTCTTCCTAATATAATTGGGACTTTAGCATCTTCCTCCATGTCAAGCACCACAAAGTCAGCTGGGAAAATAAATTTATCCACCTTTACGAAGACATCCTCCACTACACCATACGGATAAGTTACTGAATGGTCAGCCAGTTGTAGAGTTATCATAGTAGGCTTCACTTCTCCAATGCCCAACCTTTTAAAAATGGACAAGGGCATCAAATTGATGCTTGCTCCAAGATGACACAATGCCTTGCTTACCATTAAATTTCCAATCTCACATGGGATTGCAAAGCTTCTTGGATCCTTCAACTTGGGAGGTAATTTTTGTTGAATTATTGCACTACACTCCTTTGTGAGCATTATTATTTCATCTTCTTGAAGCTTTCTTTTTCTAGACAACAAGTCCTTCATGAATTTAGCATAGCTTGGCATTTGCTTCAATGCTTCAGCAAACGGAATATTGATGTGGAGCTTTTTAAAGACATCAAGCAATCTTGCAAATTGCTTTTCTTGCTCTTTTTTCTTCAACCTTTGAGGGAATGGAATAGTAGGAACAAATTCTCTCATTTTATCACTCTCACTCACTTGCCTTTTATCTCCCTCATCTTTTTCTCACAATTTATCTCATTTTCATTTTTTTCACTCTTTTTCTCTTCTATGTTTTTTTCTACTCTTTCTATATCATTTCTTCCTTGCCTTTTCTCTCCTTCCACCTCACTCTTTTTCTCATTCATTAACACCTTTCCACTCCTCAATTGAATTTCCTTACATTGTTCCCTTGGATTGGTAATGGTGTCACTAGGAAATGTACCAGGAGGTCTCTCTGAAAGTTGTCTTGAAATTTGGCCAATCTGATTCTCCAAATTTCTGATTGAAGCTTCCTGGTTCTTGAAATTTGTCCTAGTCTCATTCATGAAGTTGGAAGTTTGCTCCACAAAGGTAGAGGTTTGCAAAGATAATTTCTCTAAAGCACTCTCCAAAGTAGACATCTTGCTTCCTTGATTGCTAGATTGTGTTTGATATTAGTAAGAAGGCATTGGTTGGCTAGATTGTGCTAGTCCACCCTAAGGTCTATTTGGTGGATTTCTCCAACCTGCATTATAGTTATTAGAATACTGATTCTGTTGTTGCCCCAATGCATTAACCTGTGCTTCTTGTTGAGTGGCTTGACATTCACCATTTTGATGCGTTCCTCTACAAAAATCATACACCAATAAGGAGGATGTATTAACAGCTCTAGCTTGCATACTACCCAACTGTTGATTCAGATCAATAATTTGTTGGGTTAACAACTTGTTCTAAGCTAAGATAGCATCCAAAGTATTAACCTCCAATACTCCACCTCTCCTATTTTGGCGATCAACCTGCATATTCACTGTATTATTTTCCATCAATTCAAGAGTTTCCAAAGCTTCCTCTGGTGTTTTCAAATTAAATGACCATCCACTTGCTGCATCCAAAATTACCTTAAAAGAGGGTGAAAGGCCATCATAGAAAATTTGCACTTGCAGCCAATCTGGTAAAGCATGATGAGGACACTTCCTGATTAGCTCTTTGTACCTTTCACATGCCTCATATAAGGATTCAGATTCTTGTTGCACAAAAGTAGTGATCTCATTTCTCATTCTTGCTGATTTGGATGAGGAAAATATTTGTTCACAAATTTTGTAGCCAAATCATCCCATGTAGAAATACTCCCTTGAGGTTGTGACTGAAGCCAACTCTTAGCTTTATCGCGTAATGAAAAAGGAAAAAGCCTCAAGCGGACTGCATCATCAATAGCTCCGTTGATCTTCAAGGTATCACAAATTGCCAAGCAATTCTCCAAGTGAGAATTTGGATCCTTAGAAGCTGCACCTCCAAACTAATTTTGTTGGATGACTTGTAACAGTGCAGGCTTAATTTCAAAATTATTGGCCTGAATAGGAGGCCTCACAATGCTCCCTTTGTAACTATTAGGATCTGGCATAGAATAGTCCCGAAGGGTCCTCCTCACATGTTGTTCTGCCATTGTTGATGCTTGCTCTGTTTGATTAGGTAGTGCTTGTGCTTGTACTTGTCTTGCTCTGTCTCTCCTTCTTTTCTTTGCACTACTTCTATTCCTTCTAGCAGTACGTTCAATTTCTGGATTAAAAAGCAAAACCTTCGGGGCAACAGTACCTCGCATAAAAAGCTTAGACACACAAAATACTAAAATAACAAACATTCAAAAATCACAAAAATAATAACAACAATAAAAAAAATAATAACAAAAATAAAAACAAAAATAAAATAGAATAGGATGAAGTATCTAAAATTTACAACTCAAATCTCAGGTCTATTAGCTCACTAATATCAACGGAAAATTCAATCCCTGGCAACGACGCCAAAAACTTGTTTCACATTTGGCAAGTGTACCAATCGTTACTGTAGTAATAATATTATCGTCCTCAGGGATTAAATTTGTTGAATACTAGATTACTAATTTACGTTAATTTTGAGCAATTGAAAAATAGATGGAACAACGAACGTAGAAAATTACAAAAATTCACTCAATATTAAAATTGTCAGATAATTGATTTCATATTCTTTCCTATAGATTCTTATCCATTCCAATTGATGCAAGAATTGTAATTACTCACTTGAGTTTATTAAGATTTATTTACCCCTAATTCCTTAGGCAAGTAAATTTATTCATTGAACCCTAATCCCCAATTCCTTAGGACAATTATGAAATTCAATAGAATCATGAAGAACAATTATCATCTCAAACACAAACTAAATAGATATGCCCAATTTCCCAATTGTGACAAAACCTAATCTGTTATATCTATAATCATAAACAATCTCCAGTCTCTCAATTGTAAAAATTTTCATAAAATAAACATTAGAGACATGGATAGAACACTGAGATAATTAAGCTCTCAAGGTGGAGATAGGATGGGAGGTGGCGGAAAATAGCCAAGGTGACTAAGGAAAATATAAAGGCAAAATGCTCTCTTTATATTCAATTTCCAAAGTATTTACAAGGTGTGGTGCCTAGGGTATTTATAGGAGTGGGAGGCATCTAGGGTTGCATTTAGGGTTGCATGGCCAAAATTCACAATGCCAAATGCACACCAAATGAAACCCAAATTAACCCTAGATGCAACTTGGTGGCCAAGGATGGAATCTTTGGGTTTAGTTAGGCTACATCTAGGTGCATGATAAGACCATGCAACCTTTGCCCTCCACTTGGGCCTAAGCCTTTCTAA